GTCAGACTGGGCACAATTCCCACACTGTGTCTCTGTGCTGCCCCCTGTAGCGCTGTGGGTCAGTAAGGGGATGTCCTGTCTTGTGGTGGGGCCAACCTTATGGTCCTCTCTGTGCATTAGCTGCTCTGAGCGGGAATGTCATCCTCGAAGCTTGGTGGGCCAGGATGCTGTCCACTCTCGCTGGGTTCCTCTTTTTGTGAACCAAAGTGTTAATTTCAAAAGAGGCACCTAGTAGTCAGCTTTTACTAACATTTTTTTGAACATTTGAGCATAGAATCCTTTAAAAAATTTAAAGGAATATTCCATGGAATTTTTGTCACAAAGAATGCACTTGAAAAAATGTGTATTTGTTTAACTGTGGCTCAGAGACTTTACCTGATCCAACAGTAAAATAGTGGTAAAACTGCAAGTACTGATAAGAGTGAGTCATTAGTTAATCCTTAATTATCTGAAGGTGATCTATGACCTTTGGGATATATTTGGACTTCCTTCAAAATGTAGGTGAGCAACTCGAAAATTAGAGTTGTACGTCATTAAAGCATGCTCACATGACCTGTCCACGAATGTTTATAGCAGCTTTATTTGTGAGAGCCGAGAACACCTCATCTATCCTTTGTTGGGTAAATGGTTCAGCCCATGGAGTACATATGTGTCCCGGATTACTACTTGTCAAAAAAAAGGAGCAAACTGGTGATGCATGGAGCAACCTGGTGAATTCCAGAGACTGGGCATGAGTGAAAACGCCAGGCCTGAAACATATGGACTGTACCAATTCATTCATTTAACAATCTTGAAATTACAAAATTGTGCAAATGGCAAACAGGATAGGGATTGCCCAGGTTGCCAGAGGGATGAGGGTGGGACTGAAGTGGGTGTGGTGATGAGAGGGCAACGATGTCTTGGTTGTAATTTTGAGCTACTGTTTTACAAGATGCTACTATTGTGGGGCATTAGGAAAATTGGGTAACAAATATGCAGGATTGCTCAATGTTAATATTTACAGCTACATATAAATCTGTAATTATCTCAAGATGTTTGGAAACAAGAACATGTACTTCTGTATCTGAACGGAAATGTCCTCGATCAGATTGTCCAAAGTCATGAATGTTATGAATAAAAGTATCGTGGTAACACATTATAATCATCATTCATCACTCTGAGACAGAAGTAATAACTTTAAGCTACAGATGTGTGTGTCTTACTGGTTTTTTAAATTGCAATATATATGAACATTGAGTTCTTCTGAATATCAAAGACAGTTCTTGAACCATGCTTAAGTTTACCTGAAAAGACTTCATTTTAATAAACCCCGTGGTACGAAGATTTGGTGACATAATTTCATATATCTCATGGTGATATAGGAAAGGTAGTCCTAATTCATCAGTATGTGACTTAGGGAAGATACATATATGAGGGAGCTTCTGAAAGTTCATAGACAAAATGGGGCTGAATGCTAATAGATTCCCCACAAACTCTTTCAAACCTTCTCCTATCTATTCCCCTGCCTCATTCTCTCTTATGTGACTAAGCTGTGCAGATACTTTGAGGACAATCACTTAAAAAATGGTGGTTAGGGTATATATATATATACAGGTTCAATAATGGAAGAAAGATACTGTATATCCTTGTGTGTAAGCCAAGTTTTTTCAGCATACTTTTTATGCAGTTTTTGTGGTGAAATTAGGTGCCTCAGCTGATATTTGGGTCAGCTTATGCTCAAGTATGTATGGTAAGTGGCTAGAAAGCAAGAACTGAAGTCATTCTAAACATTTGCCTATGGCAGCCTTTGCTAAGCTTCAAAGAACTGGCTTCAAAGGCACACTCTCAAGCACAGCTGGTCGACATCACTCTATTCCAAGCTCCGGCTCCTGGCTCTGCTATTGTTCCTCTGATGTAGCTGTTTTCTAGATCCAGGAGGTTCACTGCACAGGGATCTGCGGTCCGGAGGATAGGTTCCACTCCTGCCTCTGCTGGTAATGGAGTCTCTCCTTTTGCTTCTAAGAGGGCTCGTTTTATACAGAGCAGGCTGGCATTCCATTGTTCCTATTCTCAATACTCACAGGTGAATCTTATCAGTATCTTTTTCATCTTCTTTCCAGACCCATGCAGGAAAAGGTGGGAGTTAAAGATGTTGGCTAGGAGGACCACATTAAATAATTCACTGTCCCAAATGCAAAGAGTAGGGCATTTGGTAGCCTGTTATGGTCCTATATGCTTTGATTGAGCATTTGACAGTAATATATTTTTAGATTTATCCAAAAATTTACCTTTATCTCAACTTCTCTGATTTTCAAACTGGGAAACAATCTTCTACCTTTATCCCATTTAAAGAAAGCACAGATGACCTTTACAGAACGATATAAAGTTAGAACTTAAGTTTACATTAGAGTTCATTTGAAGTATCTAGTAAAAAATAAGTTCCCCAATAGCTAGAAGCTTTTGTGGGGGGCACGGGGGTGGTTATTTTTTATTATTGTGAAGTATAATACACATACAATAAAACACAGAAGACAAATGTTTAACTTAATTATTACCTCAATAATAAAGCTCATGTGTGATAGTTACATAATTTTATATCAACTTGAAGATTTGTAAATGTGTAGGGGTGGTATCTGGCCTGTCATTCAGGTCACAGCGTGATGGCACCTCCTTGTGGGCATGAGGGCCCAGGGAGTCTCCTTCTCTCTCTGCTTTCTCCTCCTGCTTGCTGGCCACCCAGAGGGCTGCTGGAGCCCTGCCGAGTTTCCACTTCATCCAAGCAGCTGCACACACCAGCCTGTGAGCTCCCTGCTTTCTGCATCACTGGGTGAGTCTGAAGAGGGACTGATGGACCAGTATTGGACTGATAGACTTGAGTTGGACTGGGCTGGGATGGTTTCTTGATGTACAATTTCTTCTTGATATAAATCTCTTTCTTACAGTTAGTTACCCTGGAAATGTCAGAACATATGAAGAGAGTGTATAAAAAAGAAGACTCAACTATAAACTGTCTGAAAAAATTTATTTTAAATACAAAAACACAATAGGTTAAAAGTAAAAGGATGGAAATATATATACACTGCAAGCATTACCCAAAAGAAACCTGGAATTGTGATGAGATGTTTTATGATTCCATTTAAAATCCACTAGTGACTTATTATTTAACTGCATCTAAAAGAATGTATTCATTTTAATTTACAGTGTATACCTTTAACTTCAAATAATATACTATATAATCTAACTTCAAATAATATATAATTTGTGTATAGTGTACCAGCCTCACAATAGCATACCTTAATACATCTCTCCCATCTTTT